CTGAGCAGCTGGGACTACAGGTGTGTGCCACCCTACCTGGCTAACTTTTTAAATTTTTGTAGAGGCAAGGTCTTGCTATGTTGCCTAGGCTGGTCTTGAACTCCTGGGATCAAGTAATCCTCTTGCCTTGGCCTCCCGAAGTGCTGGGAATAAAGGCATGAACCACTATGCCCAAACTCAAGAAATTTTTAAATTTCCATCTTGCTTTCATTGGTGACCCAAAGATCATTCAGGAGTAGATTGTTTAATTTCTATGTATTCGTTTGGTTTTGCAAGTGCTTCCTGGAGTTAATTTCTAGTTTTATTCTACTGTGGTCTGAGAAGGTGCTTGATATGATTTTAAATTTTTTTGAATTTATTGAAGTTTGATTTGTGGGTTGTCCTATGATCTGTCCTGGCGAATGTTCCACATGCTGATGAGGAAAATGTGCATTCTGTAGTTTTGGTGTGGAATGTTCTGTAGATGTCTGTTAGGTCCATTTTCTCTAGGGCCCAGTTTTACTCCGTTATTTCTTTGTTGACTTCTGCCTTGATTGTTTGTCTCTTGCTGTCGGTGATGTGTTGAAGTCTCCCACTATTACTGTATTGCTATCTGCCTCTTTTCTTAGGTCTAGTAGAGCTTGTTTTATAAGCCTTGGGGATAATTAAAATTGTACCAGCCAGGCTTGGTGGCTCAGCCTGTAATCCCGCGCTTTAGGAGGCTGAGGTGAGTGGATTGCCTGAGCCTGTGGGTTCGAGACCCGCCTGGGCAACTTGGCGAGACCACATCTCTACAATAAATCAAAAAATTGGCATGGCGTGGTAGCACATGCCTGTAGTTTCACCTACTTTGAAGGCTGAGGCGGAAGGATGACTGGAGCCCAGCAGGTCGAGGCGACAGAGTGAGACTCTAGTCTGGGCAACAGAGTGAGACTCCAACTCAAAAAAAAAGCAAAACTGTTGTATTTTCTTGTTGGCTTCATCCCTTTATCATTATACAATAACCTTCTTTTCTTTTTTCATTATTGTTAAAATCTATTTTATCTGACATAAAAACAGTTATGCCTGTTCTTTTTTGGTTTCCATTTGCATAGAATATTTTCCCCACCCTTTTACCTTGAGTCTATAGGAGTCTTTGTGTGTTAAGTGGGCCTCTTGAAGGCAGTGGGTATTTGGATTGAGCTTTTTTATTCAGTCTGCCAATTTATATCTTTTAAGTGGGGGCATTGAGACCATTTATGTTCAGGGTCAATAATGATATGTAAGGTACTATTTCATTCATCATGTTGGTTGTTACTTGGTTGCTTGTATTCCCCTCTATTTTGTTGGTGTTCTATAAGCCCTGTGAGCTTTATGATTTCCAGTGTTTTCCTAGTTGTGTATTTAGACCTTTTGTTTCAATATTTAGAACTCATTTGTGTATTTCTTATAGAGCTGGACTAGTGGTGACAAATCGCTTCAGTGTTTGTTTGTCTGAGAAAGACTTTATTTCTTCTTCATTTATGAGATGTAGTTTCTGGGATGCAAAATCCTTAGCTAACTATTGTTCTGTTTGAGGAGATTGAAGATGGGACCCCATTCCCTTTTGGCTTATAGGGTTTCTGCTGAGAAGTCTGCTGTTAGTCTGATAGGTTTGCCTTTGTAAGTTATTTAATGCTTTTGTATCACAGATCTTAAAATTCTTTGCTTTACATTAACGTTGCATAACCTGATTACTGTATTCCTATGGGGATGACCTTTTTGCAATGAGTCTTCCAAGGGTTCTTTGTGCTTCTTTTATATGTGTTTAAGTCTCTGGCAAGGCCAGGGAAGTTTTCCTCAATTATTCCCTCAAATAGGTTTACATACCTGTTGCTTTCTCTTCTTCCTCAGGATCACCTATGAATCTTAGGTTTGTATGTTGTTTTGTTCTCTTGATTTTTTTCTTTTTCTTTTTTTTTTCATTTAGGGACTCACTCTGTCACCCAGGTTGGAGTGCAGTGGCACAATCACAGCTTACTGCAGCCTCACCACCTGGGCTCAGGCAATCCTTCCACCTTAGCTTCCCAAGTAGGTAGGACTACAGGCATGTGCCACTACGCCTAGCTAATTTTTAAATTATTGTAGAAATGAGGGCTTGCTATATTGCCTAGGCTGATCTCAAACTCCTGGGCTCAACCAGTCCTCTTGCCTTGGCCTCCCAAAGTACTGGGATTACAGGCATGAGCCACCATGCCTGGAGCTCTTTTCTTTATTGTTGTCCGATTGGGTTAATTCGAAAGCCTTGTCTTCAAGTTCTGAGATCCTTTCTTCTACTTGTTATTGTCTGCTGTTAAAATTTTCCACCGCATTTTGTACTTCCTTAAATGAGTTGTTCATTTCCAGAAGTTCAGCTTAGTTTTTTTTTTTTTTTAAGGCGTCTATCTCTTTGGAGAATTTTCCATTCATGTTCTGAATAGTTTTTTAAAAATATTTCTTTATGCTGGTTTTCAATTTTCTCCTGGATCTCATTAAGCAGTTTTATAATCAACCTTTTGAATTCTATCTCTGGAATTTCAAAGATTCCATTTTGGTTAGGATCCTTTGCTGAGGAGTTGTGTGGTCTTTTGCGGGGGTGTTTTTGTCCTGTTTTTTCATATTGTCAGAATTATTTTTCTGGTTCCTTCTCATTTGGGTAGACAATTTCTTCTTATTTGAGGTTGGCAGGGGGCTGCCGTAGGCACTTTGGGGTTCCCTTGGTTACATATAGCCTTGGTGTGGTGAGTTTCTCAATTGCCAGCTGTGGTGGTCCTGTGCTGGGTATAGTGAATAATAGTGAATAATAGTGTTAGCTAGGGTCTGGGAACAGACCTTCCCCAAGCTGAGGCGTTATGTCAGATGCAGTGAGCTGTGTTCTTGATCTCTGGCCAGGAGGTGGTGCTTACAGGAGAAAACCAACTGCGATGGTGGCTATGGGCTTTCTGCTTGGCCTTGTTGTCCCAAGGAAGTGCACAGACAACCTAGGTGATGGGCAGGGCTGTGGGGACTACCCAAGTTCTCTGTTTTGAGCCTCTGAGAAAGGTGCTAGGGAGGCAAGTGTTCAAGCTCCCCACCCTTGTGCACTATCAGCTACTCCAGAGGGGATTAGGAAGGAGTCCCTGGCCACTGTGGTAATGCTGCTGTGTTGTGCGTAGGCTACAAGAAGGTTTACATGGGAAGCGAAAGGGAAGGAGCCCCACTCAGCTCCCTGTTTAGCCTCAGGCAGTCTGCAGATGTACCAGTACCACAGGCCCAGGTCTTCTTATGGAGCTCACCCCAGCAAGGAACTGTCTGCTGCAGTGGAATTTGCCCTTGGGGGCAAACAAAAGCTTCAGGCCTCCCCATGCCCTCCCAGGCCAGCTAGAAAGCAGCCATCAGCAGGGGCTGAGTTCCTGGAAAATGGCTACTGGAGCCACTCAGGGGAGCAGCCTGCCATGTGGTTTCAGCAGAGCATGGCTGTGGGCAAGGCAGCTTCCCATGAGAGACTGGGTTCCTGTGAGGCTCAGGAGACCTTCGAAGACTGACACAGGAACACAGAGCTCCCGAATTCCTTTCATTTACCTCCCCTACTGTGTCCAGAAGCCACTCATGGTTTATGCAGTGATCCAGGTGAGCCTGGCAAGTTCTCCCAGGCTGGTTGATCTCTCCCTTTTTTGTGCTCTGTGGGTCTTACTACCTCTCTGGTGTGTTGTGAGGGTTACTAGTCTCCTTCCTCTCTGGGTTCTGAGGAACTCTCACTATTTTGGTTCACCCTGGGAGAAACACACTCTAGCTGCTTCTCATCAGCCATCTTTTTTTTTTTTGAGTTGGAGTCTCACTCTGTCGCCCAGACTGGAGTGCAGTGGCCGCTCCCGGCCACCGCAGCCTTGACCTGTTGGGCTCCGGCGATCCATCTGCCTCAGCCTTCCAAGTAGCTGGAACTACAGGCGCGTGCTACCACGCCTGGCTAATTTTTTGATTTATTGTAGAGATGAGGTCTCACCAAGTTGCCCAGGCGGGTCTCGAACCCGTGGGCTCAGGCAGTCCACTCACCTCAGCCTCCCAAGGCGCGGGATTACAGGCTGAGCCACTGAGCCCGGCTCCTTCATCAACCATCTTAATCCTCCCTAGTTGTGCTTTTACATTCTTCATTTTGCTGGTTTTGCCTTCTCCCCCTCAGTAGAATTCAGTTCCTCTAAGTAGGTCTTTGCTTCCAGCTCTGTTTCCTTCGCAGTGCACGGTAGGTGCTCAGTGATGGTTTGAATGAACAAATGAATGAAAATAGCTTTAGAATAACCAAGCATCAGTTCATCCAGATAAATCATTTTATGTTAGGCAAGTGTTCCAAAATAAAACAAAGTGAGTGGCCGGGCACGGTCGCTGAAGCCTGTAATCCCAGCACTTTGGGAGGCCGAGGTGAGGAGATTGTCTAAACCCCTGGGTTTGAGAACAGCCTGAGCAACTTGGCGAGACCTCATCTCTACAATATATAAAAAAATTAGCCAGATGTGGTAGCACATGGCTGTATTTCCGGCTGCTTGGAAGGCTGAGGTGGAAGGATCACCTGAGTCCAGCTGGTCAAAGCTGGGATGGCCTAAGTGTGCCACTACACTTCGGCCTGGGCAATGGAGTGAGGCTCCGACTCATAAAAGAAATCCAAAAAACAAACAAACAAAAAATGCATTGAGTGTCTTTAGCTATAGTACTTTTCTTTTTCTTTCTTGGTCAGAGCCCCTCTTCCTAGACCTTTACATTTACTAGCTTACACTTTAAGTGGCATAGTCATGTTTTATATTTGTATTGGTATTTATATTAAATATTCATATGTGGCATTGAGTATTAGATACCTTAAATCACATACTGTGTACTCATATGTACAAATATGCCCTTGTGTATGTTTATAAGAAATGTCAAAAATACCCTTTTACTAGCTCATCAAACCACTTAAGGGAAATTGAATAGGTATATTAAAAGTTGAGCAGCCTTCATGAGTGTCATTTGCCACCCTGAACACTTGGTTTTTCTTGTTTGTCTCCCTGGTGGCCAGGAGTGTGAGGAGGAGGCTGTCTGTGTCATTATGTGCGCGTCGGTCAAGTCTAACATCCGGGGTCCTGCCCTCATCCCAAGAATGAAGACCAAGCACCGCCTCTACTACATCTCCCTCTTCTCCATTGTGCTTCTGGGCCTCATCGCCACGGGCATGTTTCAGTTCTGGCCCCATTCCATCGAGTCCTCGAATGACTGGAACGTGGAGAAGCGCAGTGTGCGTGATGTGCCGGTGGTCAGACTGCCCGCTGACAGTCCCTTCCGCGAGCGGGGGTGGGGAGGGGATCTCAGCTGCAGGATGCACACGTGTTTTGATGTCTACCGCTGCGACTTCAGCCCAGAGAACAAAATGCAGGTGTACATCTACTCTCTAAAAAAGTATGTGGATGACTTTGGAGTCCTGGTCAGCAACACCATCTCCCGGGAGTATAATGAGCTACTTACGGCCATATCGGACAGTGACTACTACACTGACAACATCGGCCGGGCCTGCCTGTTTGTTCCCTCGATTGATGTGCTTAACCAGAACACACTCCGCATCGAGGAGACAGCGCAAGCACTGGCCCAGCTCTCTAGGTATCGTACACTGTTACGCCCAACGCCCGAGAGATGTGTATATGTGAGCGTATGTGTGTGCGTGCATGTATGTATATGTATATGTATGAGTCGGGGTCTTCTCTTACCCAGGTTGGTGGCACAATCATGGCTCACAGCCCCGACCTCCTAGGCTCAGGTGATCTTTCTTCCTCGGCCTCCTGAGTAGCTGAGACTACTCGAATTAAATTAACCTGGCTAATTAAAAAAAATTTTTTTTGATAAAAATTTTTTTATAGAGACGAGGATTCACTGTGTTGCCTATGCTGGTCTTGAACTTCTGGGCTCAAGCAATCCTCACCCTCAGCCTCCCAAATTGCTAGGATTAGAGGCATGAGCCACTGTGCCCGGCCCCAAGAGATAACTGAGGCCCCTCAGGGAACTAAAGGGAGGAAGGATGGGAATGTTTCCCCCCTTGAGCTGGCTTCCAGATTCTGTCTGTCTTCTCACAGGGAGTGTGTGAGCGATTGACTTGTGGCACAAGGCCTCTGTCTCGTGCTTTGTGCATCTGGCCTGTGCACGCCTGTGAAGAGCAGTCTGCCCTCTCCAGTGCCACTGCTGCGGGTTCCCGACTTCTTAAAGTTTACAAACTAAGGGTGGTTCTTCCTCCCTTACTTTTTCTTTTAAATCTGAATGAGCTCTCCCTCCATTTACCATGTATTTACATAATACATAGTCACTGTAAAATGAGCTCTCCCTCCATTTACCATGTATTTACATAATACATGGTCACTGTAAAAAGTCTGAAAATACAGGTAGAAAGAATGTAAGATTCCTTCTAAAATTCTGCCTCTAAGATAAACATTTTAAGATTTTGATGGTACTTTTCAGTCATTTTTGTTTACAGATGTATATACATACACACGTCTATGTAAACTTTGGTTAAGAATGGGATCGTACAATACATGCTCTTTGGTTGCTTCTTTCCTTGAAATACATCATGAATATATTTCTGAATACTTTCATGGTTTTTTACTATATAATTTTTTTTTTTTGAGTTGGAGTCTCATTCTGTCATCCAGGCTGGAGTGTAGTGGCACACTCACAGCCACCCAGCATTGACCTTCTGGGCTCTGGTGATCCTTCCGCCTCAACCTTCCAAGTAGCCAGAACTACAGACACACGCTACCACGCCTGGGTAATTTTTGATTTTTTGTAGAGACGAAGTCTCGCCAAGTTGTCCAGTCTGGTCTTGAACCCATGGACTCAGGCAATCCACTTGCCTTGGCCTCCCAAAGTGCTGGAATTACAGGCTGAGCCATGGTGCCCGGCCAGTTTTTTACTATATCATTTTAAGGGTTGCATAGTATTTCATGATATATTTAGCTAACCTTCTATAATTCACTTATTTTTTGTTTCTTTAACCAGATGATGAACATTCACATAGTTTTCAGCTTTTCATTATTAGAAACAGTTACAATAATTAGTAGTGGACAAACTTGAAGTACATATCCATCCATTTTTCTCTTTCAAGGAGCCAGACTTGTGTCTGATATACTATTAGGATTTCCAGGAGTTTTCTTTTGCTTACCTGAGAAGTGGTTCTATTTGGGGTTGGGAATACTTGCTATTGTTATCCAGGAACTGACTCTTGCTTCTTTGTATTGTCATGTGAATTCTCCCACCTGTTTAATTTCCTGATAGGTGGGATCGGGGTTCAAATCACCTGCTGTTCAACATGTTGCCTGGAGGTCCCCCAGATTACAGCACGGCCTTGGATGTTCCCAGAGACAGGTAGGTGTATGTGGGGCTGTCCTGAGTTTCAAGTGAATGCCAGATGCTTTTGTTCATATGAAATTGTATTCCTAAGTCACTGGAACATACTTTGCAATCAGAATTGTTTATTAAACTAGAAAATTGTCCTAGGCGTTTCCCTCCTTAAGACATACAAGTGCCACGACCTGTTTAAATTTGTGGAGGAAAACCAGTTAGCTGATCTCCTAGCATAGCCCTGAAACTTTTCTTAGCCTGAGTTGTGCACTTGTGAGTGTAATACCCCTGCCCCCAAGGCATGGTTTGCTGTTGGCTTGTGTTAATTCTTTCGAATTTGGAAGCATTTGCCAAAAGTAGACTCACAGCTTATAGAGAGAAGAGGGCCCAGATATGCGAAGTGACACGTGAAGCCTGTAACTTGGGGGATGAGGGCACTCTGATGGTCGATTACTCTGTTGTTTCAGTGAGTAGGGTAGTTTCCTTCTGCCCCTCCCTCCCTACCTACCTTCATTACTCTCCCCCACACCCCCACCCCGCCCCTTTTCTCCTTCCTTTCTAGTAAAATCTGTCAAACAGGCAGATGTGGTATGGGGTGGCCATGACTGCACGATTGTGTCTTTGAGTTCCCATACTGTATTTATCTGCCATTTTATGCACTGACTGAACCGCTTTGGCCAGAGGTGTCTTGGAAAGCCCCTGAATGGGTTGCTACCTAAGGGACCTCTCTTAGTGCTTAGTTCAAGGCTTTGAGGAAAGCAGGAAGTTTGGGCCCAAGGTAGGGTCCTGGCCACTACTCAAGGTATGGGATTGTTAAAAGAGTCTGTGTACAAACTCGTTTATCACCAGTCTTATTACAGTTGGTGTTCAACTCTTCCGGAAAAGGTATCAGCCTGAGGCCAGCTGTGTTCTCAGCTTGTTAGAGGCCAATATTTATGAAAATCTACACTTCCCCCAGAAGATTGCATCTAAACGTTCTTTGCTTTAAGCGATTATCTAGAGTTGGTCCTGAGTTTCTATCTGGAAATACAATTATCACTATAAGAGACAGATGCCCAGGGCCACCCCTCAGTGTGGGTGTAGAGACCATTCTGGACAACAGAGGGCCTTGTGGCCATGCAGATGCTACGGAAACCGCTGCACACAGGGCCCTCCCCGGTTTGGCTCTTGGTCCCTGCTAAGGCGTGCTTTGCCTCAGTGGACTACTACTGTTTTACAGATTTGGTTGTTCTGGGGAGGGGAAATACTTCAGAGAACAGAGAAGGAAAGGAAAAGAGCTGTGAGGAATGTGTGTCTTCCCCTCCTATTCTGGCTTTCTTCTCAGACGGGCTTCTTTCTGTGGGGGCATTTCACTTTTTGCTGACATTTTGGTATATGCTTCTGCATGGGAGATGGATTTTATTTTTATCAAGTGCACATGTTAACTGGGGTTCATTTCTCAGCAGGAATATGTCAAGTAGGCAGGAGAAGTTTGAGTTCTTGCTAGTGTTTAGGTGTTAAGGATCAGGAGGGCTAAATTGTTTTTCCTCTGCATGTATTTTTTTAAGTGATTATAGGCAATCCCGCAGCAGGTGATGAATCACTGTGTATTCCTCCTTTATCTCCGCATATGGAAAATGTCCTTTTGAAACCTGCGTGACCTTCTGGTTGGGGTAAGGAATAGTAGATTTGTTTGTTAATTTTTCTTATCCTTTGTCCTTGCTCCTGGGTTCAGAAGAGGCGAGAACCATGCGTGTAGAATGGTTTTAGCAGGAGCTGTGTGTCAGATTGTTTGGAAATTAGAAAACAGATGGGCTAAATTAGACTGTCTTAAAATCTCCTGAAGTCTAAAGTCATAGGTGTGATTACTTAAAAATTATTTTACTCAAGGAAATGCAAGAACCTGTACTGAAGGGAAATGTCTGCTCAGTGAATTTGTTTTTTGTGCTGCTTAAATCTGTTTTTATTTCTTTTTCAGCTTTTAAAAATCATACACATGGTACGTTTGTACATTCTTTGGACAAGAGTTGAATGAGATACAAGTGTCTGAATGTAAAATGAAAAAATCTTCCATCATCCCCTCCTGCTTTCACTCTCTTCCAGAGGGATGCTTACTGTTAACATACTGTGTGTTTTTCTAGTCTTTTTTTCCTGTGGATGTATACACAATCACATATACATATAAATGCCCATTTTATTTTAGCCTAAGCAGGAGCGTATTGTACTTCTCCAGTGCCTTACTTAACCGATGCTTCTCTTCTCAGGTAGTTTTATTACACTGTTACCACCTTGGACTTTTATTTTCCTTTCTTTGCACAAATCTCTTACAAGTTTCTACTTTTGTGTGGGTGGGTATTTATTTATTTCGACTCGTTATGGAAAATTTCAAACCTAGACAAAGCAGAGAAACTGATTAGTGTGGTGCACCCCATATGCCCACCGTCCAGCTTCAGTCATCATCTGCTCCAGGCCAGTTCTGCTTCGTCTGTGCTCTGACCTGTTCCCCACCCCGCCAGGTCACCTAGAAGCCTGTCCCAGATGTTATGCCATCGCATCTGTAAATATCTCCATGCGAGTCTCTGCACAATACAGCCTTTTTAAAGAACATAACGGTCTGGCTCGGTGGCTCAGCCTGTAATCCCATGCCTTGGGAGGCTGCGGTGAGTGGATTGCCTGAGCCCGTGGGTTTGAGACCTGCCTGAGCAACTTGGCGAGACCTCATCTCTACAATAAATCAAAAA